ATAAAAAAAAAGAGAAGAAAAAACAAAACTAGAAAGCTTCTTATTTGATACATGATGTCAATTCCTATAAAAATCTTCCCCTCTTTGCTGAGTCCATGAAATGTTGAAATTCTTAGGCACTGGAGATGAATGCCAAATTTAATAATGTTTGATAAAGTTGCATATAATCAGTAGGCAATGATATTAACCATTTAGATTTTTTTTATAGTTATTAACCATTTAGCATTGTAAACTAGTTTCTATTTATATATGCTTCTACATTCAATTTCTTTCCTATTATATCAAATTATTGAATTATTACTGAAAATATATTTATAAAAATTAAAAGGGTAAATTACAGATTGCCAGCCTGTACTTTGGGGGTGGTGATACTTTGCCACCCTGAACGTTTAGATTCCAACACTTTACACCTGCCATTAGCATTCCATTAGTTAACTAGAAAAATTAAAAAAAAAAAAGATTTTCATTTGACTGTCATCTGTGTGTTTAGATTCCAACACTTTACATCTGCCATTAGCATTTCATTAGTTAACTAGAAAAAACCCCAAGCTGCCCTTCTATCATTTTCTGAGACCATTTTGCAAAAAAAAAAAATGATAAAATAGAACAAAAAAAAGATAATAAAAGAAAATAGGAATTTGCAGAAAATACAATAAATGCGGCAAAAGTGAATAAAAAGAGGAAAATAAAACGAAATACAGAAAAACAGATAATACAACAAAGTAATAGAGGAAAATACAGCAAAAACATGATAATAACAAAAAACACTAAATTTGAAAAAAAAAAAACTAAAAAAGGATTCTTCGTTACAAGGCTGTAAGTCAAGGGTATTCCAGAAATTTTCCAGCAAATTGGCTTTGGAGACTTGTTCAAAATCTGGAAGTCTGAGGACCCATTCTGAGATTTAGATTGCTCACTGTAGCTACCAAGTATTTTATACTTTTTTACCTGTTCTTGAAAACTCTTCTGTTCCTCTCCTTCCAAATGGACCAACATACTGCAAATGGAACAGAACTCCACATAATCCTGGCTTTCTTACTGCCTCTGAGCTTTGGCCACAAGGAGAAGATCTCTACTGTAGCCACTGGTCAGAAGACACTCATCCCAAATAGGAAGGAAAAGAATTTCCATATGAAGCTTGCTATGCTGCATGAGAAGAACAAATGAAGTACTGTTTCTTCCTACTGATTGCATAAATCACACTAGCTGGCCAGATGTAATCCCCTAGGTTTCAGGTGATCATAGGTGAGGATGCTGTCATGTGCCACCAGCCATGCAAAGGCTTCTACCCTTGGGGGGACTGGGTTACCCCATACATTCTTTCCACCAGAGCCCATCTTCAGTAAATCTAGAAATTCTGGTCCCTTCTAATTTTCCAGAAGCATAATACACTCTTCCACTTCTTGGTCTAAGAAAGTTCTTCTGAATTTCGGATTCCAGATCAATTGCTCCCCTCTCCACTCATAGCATTGGGCTATTGAGACTTGTTGTTCTGTTAAGTATAATCTTGAGCACACCTCACTTTAACTTCCCTATCTCAAGCCACTCATCTTCCCAAAACCTCACTCTAGACCCTTCCCCCACTTTGAACTTAACCAAATTTCTGAACTCATGATTCCTTTCCAAACACTCACCCCATAGGATCTTCTTACTTCCCTTGATTCCCACCCGAATCTTATCACACCATATTTCCCAACCACCACCCTCCTCTATAAGGCTTCCCTCTCTCTCCCTGCCCAAACCTCCACAGCCATTTCCCTAGAAGTGCTTTGTTTATTAATTTTACCCTTCTCAGCCCCAATCCTCCCCTCACCTTTTCCCATTTGACCAAGTGATATTTTTGACTCCCCCTACCCCTTCCCATAGAAAGTCTCTTTGAATTTTCTCAGTCTTCATAGCCACTTCATTATGAACTCTTAGCAAGGAAAGACAATAGGTTGGTAGACCAGCCAAGACACTCTTTATAAGCGTGATTCTCCCACCCAAAGATAGATACTTAGCCTTCTAATAGTGGCCTCCAAATGCTAATTGCTGCTCTCTTTGACCCCACCGGAAGCCCTAATACATAAAAGGAAGCTCCCCTACTTTGCATTCCAGCACCCCTGCAAACTGTTCATCTCCCCCCTACTTATATCTCCAACTCCTATCAGTAGACTCTTCTCTAAATTCACTTTCAGTCCAGCCATCGAACTTTAACATACTTACTTTCGTTATTTTGAAAATCTTCTTCTCTCAGCCATCGAGCTTTGAATGGGCATTTTAGTAATTTTACCCTTACCAAGCCCATTAAAGAGGCAGGGGTAAAGTTCACAACTTGCCTCCTTTTTTTTACCCTTTTCCTTTGCTTTTTGGTGGGAGTGCCCTCATTACTAAGACAGGAACAGGAAGACACATTAATAAAGGATAATGAAAAAGTAAGTATCATCAGCCATGTGAATAAGTGTGATGAGAAAAAGAAAAGGAAGAAGCATTTCAAGTAGAAACTGGAATAAGGTACATGACTGCCTACTGCATCTTTTATTTATTATATAAGAATAGCAGTACAATTACTATATCACCCCTACTATGGCACAACAATGTGTACAATATTAAAAGATAAAAAACTCCCTAGTTGCATAACCAACGAGAAAAAAAATAAAATATCAACTAGAGGAACGATAAGTCATATTGCATATTAACAATATAATACAAGAAAGGAAGTCATCCCATTATATAATATACTGAATTTTCTATCATGATGACTGCAACAATGAAGAGACCATTTTAACCAATGGTCCTAAAGAAGACATCACAGCAATAAACATACCTCAACTCTGGGTCTCTTGATCCTGGAAGTTGCGGTTGACTCCAAATCAGATGTTTCAAGCCCATTCAGCTGCTTGAAACTGTCATTTACACTGCCAGCTGATGATACAGCATTCAAGGGCATAGCAATTGTGTAACGCCTCATTTTCTTTGTTGCAGAACTTCCATCTTGTGAGATGAAGTTCCTTGCTTGCAAACGGCACTTGGTCATAGCCACCAAATCCTCACCAACTGCTGCTCTAGATCCATTACCAGGTGCTGATCCTGCTATCCTATCAATCATACAGACAACTGAACCAATGTCACTGACAGAAGCACACAGTGCTTTAGTTGACATTGATTTTACCTGAAAATGAACACAGGATTATGATTTGTAATACACAATCAATTCAGTTACCAAAAAGCTTCAAGATAGTGATTCTTGATGTGTCATTAATATATGATTGTATAGAGACCAGTTTGGAGATTAATTAAACTAACCACTTTAATTAAGCGCTCCAAAGGCTGCTCAGTCACAACGGATTTCCCAGAAATCATTGTGGATGCAGTACCCTGATTTCCATCTGGACCAGTAAATTCAGCAAGCAAGGGAGAGGCTGATATCCCTGGTGTGCCAATTGCAAGAGACTGAGCTGGAGCTATTGCAACAGATGTTTGTGGATGTCCAATATTTCCTGCAGTTGAGAGTGAAGAAACAGCAGACGTCTGTTTTTCGGAGTCACCTGGTATTGGAGATGGGGCCAAGGGAGGGGAAGGAGAAGGAACAACAAAAGGTGAGTTTGCAGATTGCAATGGTGTTCCAGCTTTTGTAAGAGATGAGAGCAGACTTTGTTGGTCTATCTGTGGAGATGAATGCTGAGAAATTTGGGGGGATGCAGCTTGGAGGAGTTGAGGAGAAGAAATAGGAAATGAGGCACCTGCTTTTAGTTGTTGGTGGTATGCTGGGCGTTGACTTGCTGAATGATGCTGCTGAAAAATTCCTGGTTTAACACCCATGCCCTGTCTAACCTTCAAATCATTAACCTCATTCATATGAAGTTGTGGCATTTGGTGTACTGGCAACTGCGAACTTTGTTGTGGCTTTTGTTGGTGTACCTGCTGCTGTGGCTGCTGCTGCTGCTGGAACTGCTGCTGCTGCTGTTGCTGCTGTTGTAGTATCTGTTGCTTCTGTTGCTGAAGCAGCTGCTGATGTACTGGTCGTTGTTGAAATTGTTGCTTTAGTTGTTGAGACTGTATCAGCTGTTGTTCCTGTTGTTGCTTCAGATGCTGGTGTTGGAGCATATTAGTATTTGGCTGAAGAGAACCAATACTGGGCTGTAACGTATTAACACTACTTTGTGACAAAGTGGTAATGTTTGTCTGCTGGGTTGTGCTCATGGTACTTTGCTGTAAGGATCCCACAGCACCTTGCTGCAATGAATTGGGTGCATTTCCTTGTCCCGGCTCCAAATTAGAACTAGACTGTAAGGAAGTCATTACATTTGGTTGTGCATTTGTAACTGCCAAATGATTCGATACCGGGGGAATGGAACTATGTTGCATAGTAGGCACAGAAGTTGGCTGCATTGATGTTACAGAACTTTGTAAGTTAATTGGTTGCACTTGGGGGTGCATTTGGTTGTCATGCTGCTGCTGCTTTAGATGAGGAATTTGAGGTTGTGGCTGCTGCTGCTGTTGCTGTTGCTGTGGCTGAATGGAGTGCAAAAGGGCACCAGGTGGCTGAAGTTGCTGCTGCCCCTGCAGCTGTGAAGGAACAGGCTTCTTGGGCCTGTTAGTATTAAGGACACCAACAATTTGCTTTTCAAGCAATGGCAGCTTGTCCTTGTAAAGTAAGCAAGTAGTTTTGGCCACCGACAAGAATTGTATAATGCGCTCCAACATGGTCCTGAACATTCTGAGTCTGTCAACATGATCTGACTTTTGGGGCTGTGGAAGAGAATCATTCTGCAAACAGAGAGAGACAATAAACACAGCATAAAAAGTAACAATAAACATGGAACACAAACAATTTTCCAATCAACAACATTTAGTTTGAATTAATGTTATAGGCCATATGATGAAATATTATGATGCTTTATATAAGAAAATAAATAGGTAAAGTACCTGTTGGCATTTGAGAGCAATCTTCTGATACATCTCATTAATTTCTGGTAGGTACATTTCCTTCATAGACTTTATCTGCAAGGTAGTCCAGTAAAACTTTAAATGGTAAAAGTCTTCAAATTTCCATGAAAATAAATATGTAGCATGCCACAATATATAAGAAAGTTAATGTTTTCATCAAATATTGCCATAATATATAGTTTTGCCTTCAAAATTTTCTGAGAAAATATCGATGAATACATAAAGGAAATGACTAGTATATAACATTCATGTCATATAACAAATCAACTAAACAACAAAGGTTTATCCTGGCTATTTGTGGTCCATTCCATCTAAGCCCTGTCTATTTACAAATCTCTCACTTACCCGGGTAAGTACACTTACCCGGGTAAGTACACTTACCCGGGTAAGTACACTTACCCAGGTAAATGTTTCCTAGGTAACACTTACTTGGGTAACTTTACTTGCCCATGTTCTTTTGATTCCCAGGTAATATGATGACCTTTTTTACCCATAAAAAGCTAATGTTAAAAATGGCAAACTTGTCTCATCATGTTTTATAAACTTTTCCCCCAGGTGGGAAAGTTACCCACCGGGGAGATGGTTAAGTTTTACTCAGGTAAATGAAGCTCTATTTATTGTGGGGCCTAGTACTTACTGCAAAACGAACACTATAAAGTTGGTCAATGGGAAAGAGATACCCATTGACCAACTTCCCCCTGGAAACATGGAAATAACAATTCAAACTAACAAATTTGGCAAAAGTTCATGCTGATTGCCAAAATATGCCAGGACCAATCATGCAATACAAGCTTCAAACTATTGGAATTATATATTGATCAATGACTACATCATTTCATATCATTAAAGAAACAGAAAGAAGTGTACAATATACGAATTACAAGAGAAAAGACAAGTAAGTCAATGAGAGATAAAACCTCTTATCTCTCCCCCAGCTACTCCCCTTACAAGAGTGCCCAAGAGATTCTCCCCCCACCCCTTGTTTTGCTAAAACATCAGATAATGAGTTAGCACAACATCTAATCCCATTGAATGAGATTTCCATATCTCTTGTCAACAACCTAACTTTCTTCTTTTCATTTAATCCAATTGAATCCTCTCCTTGTAACTAGCTTACTACCAGTTTGGAATCTCCCTCAACAATCAGCTTCTTGATGTTCAAATCCCTCGCTCTTTGAACACCTTACTCCAAAGCCAACACTTTTGCATCTATCGTGGTGGTGGGCGTATTGGGGGTTGAGATTCAAGGGGGGCTCGTGGTAGAGGACGTGGTAATGGTGTGAGGAAGTGTATGCACTGTGTAATGAAGGGATATACTATCAATTTCTGTTATGATCTACATGGGCCACCCTTGGGCCAATCATGTGATGACTAGTGGTGGTGGTGGTACAAGAGATGAAATTCAGCAAGTTGGTCACACACCTTCTACATCTATAGATATTTCCAGGAAAGAGATGATGAGTGTTCCACGTAATGAGTATGAGTGGTTCCTTTAGGCTATATCTCAACAAAATATAGCTACCCTTGCTCATTCAAGTATGGCTTGTCTGGCATCCAAACCCTCCCATTAGATTATCGACTCTAGAGTTTTCGATCATATGATTGAAACTCTAAGTGTGTTTTCTTCTCTTTCCCAATCCTCTTACATCATACACAGTTACTCCTGCTAATGGCTCCACATCTTCTATCTATGGTATTGATAATGTGGACACAGATTCAGTATCCTTGTCTTCAATTTTGTATGTTCCCAAATTCCCTTTTAACCATATGTCTATTAGTAAATTGACCAATTTTCTTAATTGCTCCATCACCTTTCATCCTTCTTCATGTGTCAAGACAGGGATGAAGATTGGTGGAAGGCATGAAGCTAGTGGACTGTATTATCTTGATGATGGTGGTTCGTCGACGGCTCTTCAGTCGTCCCTTTCTCCTCTCCAATGGCACTGCAGGCTTGACCATCCATCGTGTTCCCTTTAGCCCTATGGTTGATAGTCGTATGTCAAGTCCTTTTTCTTTGGTCCATTCAGACATTTGGGGTCCTAATAAAGTAGTGACATACAATGTGTTACAAGGAATGAATTGTTTTCTATTTTCCAAAAGTTTCATGCTAAAATTCACACACAATTTAAGATACACATTAAGATTCTTCATTCTGTTAATTGTCACAAATATTTTTTTACACTGTTTTAGCATTATTTGGAACATGGCATTATCCATCAAACCTCATGTACTTACATCCCTCAACAAAATGGGGTGGTTGAGAAAAGAACCACCATCTATTAGAGATTTCTCAATCCCTTGTGCACCAAATGAATGTACCCAAACGTTTTTGGAGTGATGTGCTTACATCTTACTTATTAATTAGATGCGCATGTCTATCTTTAAGGTCATTCTCCCTTCTCCGTTTTGTTCCCTACCATGTCTCCTTTCCCTCTCACTTCCAAGGTTTTTGGATGCATGTGTTTTGTTCATAATCTTGGGTCTGGTATGGACAAATTAGATGCATGATATACTAAGTGTGCCTTTCTTGGCTATTTTAGGATCTCACTACTCTCTCTCCTGGTAAGCATGTTATAGGTTGTAAGTGGGTATACACTGTTAAATATTTACCAGATAGTAGTGTAGAGCAATTGAAGGCTCGGTTGGTTGCAAAAGGTTACTCACAGTTATATGGCATTGACTACACAGACACCTTCACTCCTATTGCTATGATTAGTTCAGTCCATGTTTTGATATCCCTAGCTGCTATGTATGATTGGCCTTTGTTTTAGCTCAACATCAAGAATGCCTTTTCACATAATGACCTTCTTGATGTCTATATGGAGCAACCACTAGGGTTTGTTGCTCAAGGGGATGATGGTAAGGTGTGCAAACTCAAGAAGGCCATTTATGGTCTTAAACAGTCTCCTTGCACATGGTTTGGTAGATTCAGTGAAGTGGTAAAAAAATTTGGCATGAGACAGTGTCAAGTTGATTATTCAGTATTTAGCCATGATTCAGGTGTTCGGAAGATTTTGTTGGTGGTATATGTAGATGACATTGTTATTACCAGCAGTGATAGGTTGGGGATTGATAGACTGAAGACCTTTCTACATGATCACTTCCAAACAAAGGATCTTGATTCTTGGTAAGTTAAAGTAATTTTTGGGGATAAAGGTAACAAGGTCTAAGAATGCTATTAGACTGTGCCAGAGGAAGTTTGTTCTTGATTTGTTAGAGGAGACAGGTTTGTTGGGTGCTAAACTAGCTGAAACACCCATGGAACCAAATGTCAAATTGAGTAGTGATACAGGTGAGGAGTTTGAAGATCCTAGAAGGTATAGGAGGATGAAGGATAAGTTGAATTACCTAACCATTACTCGGGCCAAATATTTCATTTGCAATTAGTGTGGTAAGTCGTTTTATGCAAAATCCTCAAGTTCCATATTGGGATGCAGCTCTAAGGATCGTACAGCATCTGAAGGAAGTTTCAAGTTGTGGCTTGTTATATAAGAGTGCAGGAAGTCTTGACATAGAGGGCTGCATAGATGCTRGTTAAGCCAGTTCCATATCTGACAAGATGTCTACTATAGAGTATAGTACCTTTCTTGGGGGCAATTTGGTGACATGGAAGAGCAAAGAAGAAAAATGGTGGTGGAAAGTAGTGTTGAAGCTGAATATAGAGTCATGACAGACACACTACATGTGAACTAGTATGATTGGGGAATCTCCTATAGGTGATGGGGTACTCAACTAATACTCCTATGAAGTTGTATTGTGACAACCAAACTGCAATCCACATTTCTTCTAATCCAATTTTCCAAGAGAGAATAAATCATATAGAAGTTGATTGTCACTTTGTGAGAGAAAAGGTGCATGGTGGAGTGATAAGTATTGTATATGTAAGCTCAATAAGTCAATGGGCAGACTTGTTCACCAAAGGGTTGAGTCGGGGAAGAGTGGATTACATATGTAACAAGCTGGAACTATATGACATATACTCACCAGCTTGAGGGGAAGTGTTAGAAGCAGCTGTAAAGGGGTAGTTCAGTCATTTTGCTTTCTGTTAAGAGTGTGATGTAATGTCTTTTATATTCTGGTTTAAGTGTTGTGTCCCACATTAATTAGGGGCATAACTGTCTTTGTGTTTTTAATTAGAAACCTATAAATCATACCTGGCCAACTAGAGAAAGTATTCTTCTCTAGTTCGAACCAGTCTTTCTCTTCTATTTCTTCTTCTCTTTCTCTCTTCACTCTTACTTCTTTACTCTTTTCTCTATTAGTTTACAATTGAAACAAGTATAGATCTGAACCATAACAATTTCCAAGGACTTCAATCAATGCACCACTCTAATTATTAGTATCTCCTTTAAATCTTCCTTGCTTCTCTCCTTCTCTAGAAAGATTTTGAGTTCCTTTCTTCCCAAATTGTCCATAATATTGCCACTCTTAAGCATCTCCACATAATTCTTCCCCTTTCTTTGGCCAAATGATGAAAGGGACAACTAGGGAGTTATCTGGCCCAATATCTCAACACTCCCCCTCAAGTTGAGCATAGATATTTGTAGAGAAGATGGGCCGAATGGCCCATAGGTTGTCTATCCTTTCATATGTTTATATTCTTTTCTGTAGCGGGCCTTATTCTGGGCCCATTCTTCCTATGTTATGTTCTTTTAATTTCTTGCCCAACTAAGGGCTTCTTTGTAAATTATTCAAGTTTAACTTAATAAAACAGTGTTAGGGTGTAAGAGGAGAGATTAAGGTTCGAATCTCTCTCTCTAAACCATTATTTGCCACCATCTTTTTCTTCATCTCCTCTTTCTTAGAAGAAGTATTTTTCTGCTGTTTTCTTTTGATTCCTGCATCTATCCTAAACAGTCCTCTATTCACAAGGACTATTTTTCTTCTTGGTATCAGAGCAGGCCTAAACTTGGCTTTGGCTCTCATGTAGGTGTTGTCCAGCCGACTACATGAGAGTTGTTCTAGGGCTGGAAGCTTCAGCTTGAGTCGCCTGATTCTTGGAGGTCATTGGAAATTGAAGAAGGTGCCCAAGATTCAAATCTCTTGGAGAGTGGTCCGGTGACCAGGAAGAATCAGAGGAAACAGGTCAGTTTCTGATTTAGAGCTTTAATCAGAAATTGTAAGTTGTGCTCAGTAGTTTCTGGGTTGCTTTTACTGTTCTGGACTATTGAAGTGTCCAAAGTTTCTTTGGAAACAATACAGCTATTCGGTTGTTCTTTTAGTCTGGTTTAGCCCAGAAATTTTTGGGTTGGTTTCATATTTTTTTTCTGGACTGTCAAGTAGTTGAAATACCTCAGGAATCAGTACTGCTGGTTATTGTTTCCCTTGAACTGTTTTTGGGCCCCTGTACGGACTGTTCTTTGGGCTGTTTTTATTTTTGACAGTGTGGTCCTCTCTACTGCCCACTCTGTGTTTGTAAAAAGGCCTCTTCATCAATACGGACTGTTCTCTGCTCTTTTTGGGGTATTGTTTGGTCAATACCTGGAATTTCTGTTTAGAAAAGGAGCCTGGACTGGGTGCTCAGTGTTTGAAGGTTTTCTGATTTTATTTCTTGAAGGCTGAACCAAGTTGGTTGGTGTCCCGTGTAGTCAACAAGGTGCTACTTCTGTTTCTGGTTCTCACAGCTTTCGGGTGTGACTCAGATTTGTGATACTGCTGCTTTGAGGCAGGTTTAACACTATCCTTGTTCATCCTCATTCGGTGTTTTTGTTTTGAAGGTGGCTGAAATCTTTTTGAAGTGTTTAAAGAGATGAACTCCTCAAAGATTGAAAACAAGAATGTTGCTGAATTCGGACAGGTTCCGGGAGCTTCTGTTGACTCTTTACTGACTGTAACAACAATCAAGCTGGATGGAACTAATTATCTGGCATGGTCACAATCGGTAAAGATTCATATCTATAGTAGAGGAAAGTGGGGTTTTATCTTCGAGAGCAAGAAGGCTCCCTCAGAAGATGATCCATCTTATGAGAAGTGGATGCAAGAGAATTATACTGTTATTGGGTGGCTTGTGAACTCAATGCAGCCACAGATTAGCCAGCACTATTTGTAGATGAATTCAGCAAAGGAAATCTGGGATAGTGTTGCAGAAACCTATTCCCAAAAATTAAATGTGGCTAGAGCTTACAAGTTGAGAAGTGATGTGAAGAATTTAAGACAGTGGGAGAAACCTTTAGTTGTATACTTCTCAACACTGAAGTCTTTGTGGCAAGAAATAGACTTGATAGAAGCTGTAACCTGGGACACTACTAATGATGTAGAGACCTACAGGAAACTAGTTGAAAGAAACAAGGTGTTTGAGTTCTTAACCGGACTAAACCCAAAGTATGATATTACAAAACAGAATATTTTATCCAAGGAGAATGTCTCACTGTCACAAGCATATGCATTGGTAAGTAATGAAGAGAGCAAAAGAATTGTCCAGGTTCAAAGGACTGGTCTAAGTGATCACTTTGCTAATATGGGAGTGAAACCCAAAGGAGTTGCAGGGACTTCTAGTGGCTCAGAGAAGAAAGAGGTTGTATGTGAGTACTGTAAAAGGCCAAAACACACTAAAGACATGTGTTGGAAATTACATCCTGATCTTGTTCCTCTTCGGTTTCAAAAAAAGCATGATAGTAAAAGAGTAGGGAGTGCTAATGCGGCTGCTGGTCCAGATTGTGACAAGTACCACACTGAAGAGATGACTGCTTGTGCATAGTTAGCAGCCATGAAAGAAGAATATAAGAAGTTTGGGAAGATGATCAGTCACCTAGAGGGTGTGACTTCTTCTTCCAACCCTTCAAGAAATTCAGCCTCTTCTGCATTTGCTCATTCAAGTATAAGGGCTTCTGCCAATCATGCAACCATTTCAGGTGCTTCTGATCATGTGACCAACCTTTCTACCTTGTTTGTTTCATATGATTTGCTTCCTGGATGTGACAAAATCACACTAGCCGATGGTTCTCTTGCCTCTTATCTCTGGCAAGGGAACCATCAAGGCTACAGATTCCTTGTTCCTACTTTCTGCCCTTCATGTACCTAGACTAAATACAAATTTGTTATCTGTAAGTAGTCTAACTAAACTGTTGTGTAACCTTCTTTCCTTCCTACTGTGTTTTTCAGGATCTGGAGTCCCGGAAGGTGATTGGGAGTGGCCATGAAGCGAATGGAATATACCTTCTTGATACTCCGGGATAGTGCCCTGAACAGCCTGTAAATGTTGCTTTTGGGTCTATATCTTCAAAGTTTATCAGTCGAGTTATGTTATGTCATTTTCATTTGGGTCATCTTTCCTTTTCTGCATTGAGTCATTTATTCCCTGAACTGTTTAAGGGAATTAGTTTGTCCAGTCTTCATTGTGAGTCTTGTGAGTTGTCAAAGCATTGTAGAAAYARTTATCCYTTRAGTAATAAAAGATCTTCTTCTCCTTTTRATATTGTGCACTCTGATGTGTGGGGGCCTTACCACTTACCCTCTATGGGTGGCTACAAATATTTTATCTTGTTCATTGATGATTTTTCTCGGTTTACTTGGATATTCCTGATGAAATCCTGTGATGAAGCTCCCAGACTTGTGAGACAATTCCATGAATGTGTCCTAACCCAATTTGATACCAGGATTAAAATTTTCAGATCTGAAAATGCAAAAGAATATTTTGAGAACTTATCCTGCTATCTCTCTGGCATGGGGGTTATTCATCAAAGTTCCTGTGTTAGGACCCCAGAACAGAATGGAGTTGCTGAAAGGAAAAATAGGCATATTGTTGAAGTTGCAAGAAGTATCTTGTTTGCCTCACATGTTCCTACAAAGTTTTGGGGTGATGTTGTTCTCACTGCTACCTACCTTATAAACCGTATGCCATCCAGGGTCTTGGGGTTTAAGTCTCCTTTCAGTCTTCTTCATCCGGACAATGACCTTTTCTCTATTCCTCTTCGTGTCTTTGGCTGCACTTGCTATGTACATATTCCTAGTGTCCAAAGACATAAATTTGAACCAAAAGCCCACAAGTGTATCTTCCTTGGTTATTCCCCCACACAGAAGGGTTACTGTTGCTTTGATCCAAAGACTGGTACTCGATATGTCACAATGGATGTCACCTTTGATGAGCTTTCTTCCTTTTATGGCTCCTCCATGGATGGACATTGTCCATAGGGGGAGGATTTGTCACGGGTCTTTGCTCTTCCTCTTCCTGTCCCGGTTGAGTCTCTTACTGAGTCTCTTTCTTCTTCAAATGAATCAAGGGAGGATCAATCATTCCACTCTCCCTGTCCCAGTGTTCCTCCCCCTTTACCTCCTCGTCCTCTCTTTAATCCCAGGATGTATCAAAGGCAAAGATCCAGAAATGAGCAAGTTGTTTCCCCTACAACACATGAGCCTCATGCACTTCCAGTTACAGATGAGACAACAGGTACTGTTTCAGCCCCTTTGGAGCCATCCTTCCCTGACCTTGATATTCCCATTGCTGTTAGGAAAGGAAAACGGAAATGTACTGCACATTGAATTTCCAAACACCTTTCTTATAGTTTGCTTTCTCCTTCATACTTTGCCTACCCCTCTTCTGTTGCCTCTAACCCTATTCCTAGGTCTGTGTCAAAAGCTCTTAATATTCCAAAATGGAGGGATGCTATGAGATCCAAAATTGATGCCCTGCACAAGAATAACACTTGGGAAGTGGTTGATTTGCCTAAAGGGAATGATCCAGTTGGTTGTAAGTGGGTCTTTACCATCAAATATCATGTTGATGGCACCATTGAGAGGTGCAAGGCTAAATTGGTTGCAAAAGGCTATACACAGATATATGGGATTGATTATCGGGAGACCTTTGCACCTGTTGCCAAGATGACATCTGTAAGTGTTCTTCTATCTTTGGCTGCTCACTCTGACTGGCCACTTTATCAATTGGATGTAAATAATGCATTTCTGAATGGAGAATTACAGGAGAAGGTTTATATGTCTCTTCCTCTAGGGACCCCTGCAACTTATAATAACAGATTTACAACATTCTTATTTTGTAGTGTTCAATCAACACACATATTGGTGTATGCTGTCCTGAACCCTCAAAGACTTCAAAATCTGAATCGATAAACAAGAACTTAAAATTCTGTCCCATCAACATTTTCTTTATTTTTATCATCACAAACATCATTCTCCTTCCACCCCCTTTTTTCCTTCTCCTAGAAAAAAAGACTCTGCCCCTATATTTTCTGAACCACCTTTTCCTTCTCATAAATTTGTTGATTTTATATGTTCTAATACGAAGCTTATACTTCCACCCCTGCGACTTATACTATGGAACCCAGGAATTACCATAGGGTTCATGGTTTCTATGCAAAAAATTCCCCCAACTAGGCAACAAGAGTGCCCCCTATCCCCCTAGATTCACCTTGGCATCTTAAAAATATGATCCAGACTTGGAGGCTCAACTATCATATAAAATAAGTGTGGCTTTTGTGTATTAATAGCATTTATATGTTCTTTTTTTTCTAGATTCCAATGATGATGATGTGTGCTCAAGAATCTTTTACTCAAACATCTTCACTATATCAGAAACAAATAGAACAATATAATAAAAAAGCAAAAAAAAAATAAATATCCCTGTGAATCACCTTTTGATAAACTTCTTCTTGCAAATCAATTGCATTTGCATGTCCTGTCTGAGCTGTGGACTCAATTGATGCTACAAATTGAAGAAGAAAAATAATATCAATTGACTACTGCATTATGGAAAATTAGAAAGAAGCAACCCAAAGAAAAAACCAAGTATTTTTTCTTTTTTGCCAATCACAAATAAGAAATTACATTTATTTTTTGTTAAGAAATACTTCTAAAGAGGAATGAACCTCCATCATAAAAGATAAGCTTGTTTTCCAATATGTTTTGTTTACAGAGCAAGGTGTCATTTGTGATTTGGGTCAAAGAAAAAATCTTAGGGGTTTTGAAATATCTGAAGCTCAAAGTTTTTTTCCCAATTTCTTTCTTTAGATCTCTTACTTATGGACATTAAGACTGCATTTGATTCAAAAGAAGATTTTGGTGGGATGGGATGGGATGAGAAAGGGTAAATGGGTGTAAAAATTTTCATGTTCCATTGTTTGATTGCAAAAGGAACAATAGTGGGAACATCAGCTCCAATAACAAAGAAATAGTGTTTTCAACTCACAGTCAAACCAGTTGACCTAACACATGGCCAAAATTCAGGGTCCGGGTCCACTTCACTTTTTTCTATAAGTAACGGGTCCATCTCCCTATTGAACTGCTTTTCAACAAAAAATTAAAAAAAAAAAAATCATTGATTCGATCAACAACCTAGTGACCCAGTCAATTGAACTATCTGAGTCATCTGACCTAGTCAGCAGGTCAGAGGTCTATTTTTTATTTTTTAAGAGATAAAGTAAAATTGTATTAATCAAAAAGAAGAGATATACAAGTATATCAGTCCACTGTACAAGAACTTTTCTACAAATCGACACCCTTAAAAGCCACCAAAAAATAGTTTACTGCCACAAAAGAAGGAGACAAAAGATCCTCCTTGAACAGCACATAGGTATTTAGCCAACCTCTAATATCTTCTACAATTAGGTTTATCACCTTTTCTACCTGGCTCTGTTGTTGATCAAAGACTCCTGTTTCTTTCCCCCCAAATAGCGCACAAGACTGCCAGTGGAATAGCATTCCACAGAATCCACCCTTTCTTGCACATTCCTCCCACTTTCCAGCTTTCGAGTAGGGATTCAACAGACTTGGGCATATAGGTAAAATACTGAATAAACTTGAAGAAGTGAAACCAAATTCTAGCAGAGAACTCACAGTGGATAAACAAATGATTAGAAGTCTCTTCCTCCTTACCGCACAAGACATATCAGGTATCAAGCAGCACCATTCCTTTTCTAATCAACAAAACCTTTGTAAGGCATTTCTTTTCAGCAGCAACCCAAACAAAAAACTGTACTTTTTAAGGAGCAATCCCACCCCAAACAGCTTGATTAGGGAAGGAAACTAGTGAAGCAGGCTCCAAGCCACTATAAAAAGATTTAACCGAAAAGGATTCTGATTTGAACCAAGACCAATAATGGTGATCTGGAACCTGTGAATTTAATATTATGCTTTACAGCCTAGACAGCAACACTGAAACCTGAGGAATCTACCAATCATTGAAATTTCTTCTAAATGAGGGAGCCCAGACCATAGAATCTCCAGAAGCAACAAAGCAATCAGCCACAGAAGCCACTTTATCAGAGGCCAGCATAAATAACTCTGGAAACACCTCCTTATATGGAAAATCAAAACACCAATTATCATTCCACAATTTCAATCTAGTGCCATCCCCAACCTTATATTTAATTCATTTCAAGAATTGAGGATAAGCTATGTAAATCCCTTTCCAAACCCCATATGCGTAAGAGAAACTTGAATCAGCTGCATCCCAGCCATTAACCTGAATAACATATTTTTGTGCAATGATTCATCTCCACAATTCATTGGGTTCCCTGAAAAACCTCCAGAACCATTTACCTAGAAGGGCCAAGTTAAAAGATTTTAATTTTCTGATTCCCAAGCCTCCAAAATTGACTCGCTTGTAGATCTGATCCCAGTTACCAGAGATATTTATGAGAATCTTTCCAACCAATCCAAAGGAAATCTCTCATAATTTAATATGGGTCTTTAGGTACTGTAATTTCATATTGAAAACAGAGTTGGCTGAGCCTTCAAAGCATGCTTCAGACTACCACTTGTGAATGTTTACCTGAAACTCTTCCATGCCTAACCATTTGTGCTCAAGTCTAAAAGGGGAGTTTCCTTTTGATAACCCCCAGTATCCAGCAACAATGGAGTATGGTCAGATATTACCCTCTGAAGGGCCTCTTGCAGAGACTGGAGATAAAGCTCTTCCCATTCAGTAAAAATTAAAATGGTCAAGCCTAACCAAAGGAGGGTCTTGGTTATTAGACGTATAGACCAGGGGTAATCCCAAATAACTACCATTCTTACAAAAAAAAACTGTAAAAGAAAAAAAAAAGCCTCATAAATTTTCCATACCTTTATTCTACTTGTTTATACTCAATCTTCAGCATTACATTGAAGTTGCCTCCTATAACCCAGGGATCAGACCATCTGCACCTCACTGCACTGAGCTCTTCCCATAATAAAGGCTTTAGGGAGTAATCAGTAGGATCATACATTGTGGATAACAGACTGGATACACCCATTTTCTGCCAGTGAAGTTTCACCATGATGGAGAAAACACCTAGCTGCTTGTTCAATAACTTGAAAGTGGAACTGTTCCAAACAAGCACTACACCCCTGTTGTGTTCACTACTGGAGTATAAAGCCAGTCACATGGATGAAAGACCCAGATGCTTCTTATCACTAGGAATCCACTTTCAATCAAGTTTTTCAACCCGTCGTTGACCCGGACGGTTAAACTGTTCAAACCATCACCCAATCGATTTTCCACGTCCAATTCGAACAAAACCAGATATTCCCTAATAAAACCTTTTACGAAGTTAGAAAACCGCCGAACCGGGCAACCCAGTTAGCGGGGACATCATGTCAAGTTAGATATTTTGTTCCAAGTTTTAGGTTTAAAAAATTAAAAATTCCCCTCATGTCCCAAAATTAGCCCAACCCCCTATCCCTTTTATTTCTTCTAATCTTATCTCTTTGTTATAGGGTTTATGTGAAATAGAAAGAGCACGAGAGAAGAGAACAGAGAGATCCTGAACCTGTTCAAAGTTGTTTGTCTTCTCCATTCGCCGGCAACACCAATTCTTAATCCCTGCATCTATTTTTTTCGTTCTTTGACATTTGTGTTGAGTTTGGGCAACGCCAATGCTCCAGCCGCTCAGCATGATTCTCAACAGCAATTGTATTGGGTTGGGCGATTCACACTTCAAAGAGAGGTGGAACCGTGGATTCCTGGTAAGTCGTTTATTTTATATTTTGTGTTTTAATTTTTTTCTAGTTTTTTGTATATTTCATTTCCGATTTAGGATTCTTTTGTGGAAGATCTTTAGTTTCTAACTTGCTGGAAGCCTGGAAGTTTGCAAACCGATTTTTTTTCATTCACTTTAATACATTTTCTTTTTTTTTTTATTTTCTGTGATTCCTAAGCAGCAACGTGCAACCTGAAAGTTGGAAAGTGGAAACCCGAACTTGAACTTGGAGGCTTGGAGCTTCAAGTTCAGATTACAAGAGACTGACTAAACAATATTAGGCAATTCTTTTTTGAAATTTTTGCATTTTTATGCATTTTTTGGCTATTTTATATACTTTATTGTAAATTTTTTATAAATTTTGAGAGATTTCAGACATTTTTTTGGCTATTTATAATTTCATATCATTTTTTGGATATTTATATAGGTATTATTCATGTATATATACACATATATATAATACATTTTGTTAAAATTTTTAATTATGACATCACAGGTTGAACCATCTGAGCTGCCCGATTGAACTAGTGACCCGCGACCCGGAGGAAAAAACAGGTCGACCTTCGGGTCGGTTTTAAAAGCATTGCTTTCAACAGCTTAATTTGCTGCAACATCAAGATATCTAGTCTCTTCTCCTTAATGAAATCCCCTACTACTAATTACTTCCTTCCCACACTACCAGACCCCACAGTACTACTACTACTACTACTATAACAAAAATAAGGGTTCAGCCACTATATTTTTTAAATTTTCTTTTCCTTCTTTTTTTTCTTCTCATGAATATGTTGATTTTTTATACTTTAACATGAACTCTATTCTTTTCTTATGAAAATTATGAATAATTATTAAGGAAATATGGCTATGGTACCTAGGGAACTACCCTAGGGTCTATGTTTTCTATATAAAAAAATCCATCACCTAGGCGATGCCTAGGCGCCCGCCTAGGTGACTAGGCAACAAGGTGCCCCCCTGACACCCAGCCTCGCCTTGGCGCCTTGAAAACTATGGATACTTCTGCCTTCTGAATCTTCTGACCATGTTAGCTATCCAGTATCCACTTTTCCCCTTGCACAACCCCTGCCCCATTATTTATCCTTTCAAGTTCCAGAACTGCATTTTTCTCAAAGTCCCAACCCGCCTTCTCTTCCCTATCCTGGTCATCAACTTCCTCCCGAACCACATTCCATCTCTCCTGAGTCTCATCATATTTTTCCATAGAACTACCCTTGTCAATTTCCACAAACCTATCTCATTCCACCGCCTGTAATGTTTTCCTTCCACCTCCCTAAAGATTTTCCTCGCAAATTCATCCACCCACAAACCCTGCTCCTTCTCACCAAAACATCGCCATTGCCCACCATGTCTAGGTCATCAAATCTGGTGATGACCTAGACCTACAGACCATTATCTTCTCTCCTCCCATTAGACTTCCATTCTCTAACATTTGACTCCATATTTGAGCGGACTCTATTCTTCAATCAACAAAAGAAACTCCATCTTTGCTCCTCCCTCTTTTAACAATAGACATCCACTTAGCTCCATTTCTTCTTTTTCTATGACAGAAACAGTGTCTCAGCCCCTTCTTTTCCTTAACCTTTTCAGAGACACAAAAAGGTGCTCCACCCCCTTGTCCCCTTCTTCAGTTCTTCTAATAACCATGCTGAACATAAATTCTGCTTAATAACCATCACTTAGGTGACACATAGGCAACTAAGCACTAACCTATTGCCTAGGTTTGCCTTGGCGCCTTGACAACTAGGAATTGTACTGTTTGAAATAAAATCAAAGATGTATATATATGAAGAATCTAAAGCAGGATTAGGAAGATCGAGCAATATGACAATAGAAATATATAACTTGAACATTATTCAATTGTAATAGCATACTTGATGAAGCCTCTGGAAGCATTCTTTGTGATTGGAATAATTGCTTCTGCTGCTCAATTGCATTCTGAGGCTGAAGCAGGGCACCTGATGTTTGAAGCCGTTGCTGCATATCTCGTTGTAATGGATTGGACTGCTGCTGCAACCCAATTTGTGGTTGTATTTGTCCCGACTGTGGTTGAAGATGAGACATTATTTGCTGCTGCTGTGGCTGCGGTTGTGATTGTTGCCCTTGGGATGACAACACAGCTGGCGTCTGTTGGTTTGCTTGTTGCTGTGTTGCAACCTTGACCTGTTGGAGCATGTTGACTGAGTGCTGATTTGGATGAATGTTCGAAACACTAGATTGGGATGCAAGCAATTGCTGTTGCCGTTGCTGCTGCTGCTGCTGTAGTCCAGAAACATTACTTTGTGAGCCCATCTGTTGCATGTTAGACAGATTACTTTGCTGGCTAAGCAACCTCTGTTGTTGTTGTTGCTGCTGCTGCTGTGACTGCTGCAGTGGTGGTTGTGGTTGAGGTTGCTGTTGCTGTTGCTGTGGTTGCTGAATGTCTGGGACACTGTTTTGCTGTGCAACCAGCTGATTCTGTTGTATGCTTGTTGCATTTGTTTGTTGACCTATTAGCTGTTGTTGCTGAGATGATAACAGTGTCTGCTGAGACATTGGTGTTTGCTGTTGAAGAAGAACAGGAGCCTGTTGATGTAGTGATTGTTGTGGTTGTTGTTGTTGCCTATGAACTGACTGTGGATGTTGCTGAAGCACTGATGCAGTAGATGGTTGAATAGAAGGTTGCTGATTCTGTTGGAGAGACGAGTGTGGAGTTGATTGAATAACAGAAGACTGTGTCTGCTGAAGAGGGGGCTGGCTTGATGGTAGGCTGGATGATATATGCATAAGAGACTGCTGAGAAGATTGCAGCTGAGTTGGCTGCAACAGCTGCTGCTGCTGCTGTTGCTGTTGCTGCTGCTGCTGCTGTTGGATGTGTGGTTGCATAAGAGGCTGCTGCTGCAAATTTCCCTGCTGAATCTTCTGTTTCAAAAACTGCTGCTGCAATTGCTGCTGCTGCTGGTGGTAAATATACTGTGGATTTTGAGGCTGCTGCTGGAGCTGTTGGGGAATAGCCTGTTGCTGAAGCTGTCTGCCTTGCATCTGCCTCTGTGAATTGGCAAACATATTGGAAGTTACACTTTGTCCCAGTGGATTACTTACCGAGTTCTGTGAAATGCCTGACATATTTGGCAAGTTGGAATTCTGTCCACCAACATTTGGCACGGTATTTTGAGATAGTCCAGAAACTGATGGATGTGCAGATGAAAGACCAGAAGAGTTCTGTACTCCAGCAGGTGCAATGTTATTTTGAACAGTCTGGGACAGCATCTGCTGTCGTGCCTGGTTAGGCATGGAAATTGGTAGTGGCTGCCCTTGGTTGCGCACTTGGGATTGCATACTTTGAGATGCTATTTTCAATATAAGACCAACAAAAAAATACTTCAGTCAAATGAAAACTCAGAAGGATATAACACAAAATACACATATATCATTCTGTTAAGAAAAAAGAAAAATAGAAAATTTCTATTTATTTATTCCAAGAAAATCTACTTCTTATCAATCAAAAAAAAATTCTATCATTAAGAGCATAAACAAATTTTTAGTAAATCTTTTTATAAGAATGAGATTCAAAACAAAAGGAGATTTAGCTAGCTCTTCACTTGACAAAATGGCAAGAACGAGAGCTTAAACAACCAAATGCTTATTAATTAAAAGGTGAACTAGGCATTTATCTTATTGACAAGCATGTGTGAAATCCATGTCAAGTAGTGATCTCAAATGAATAATTCTAATATACCAACTTTCAATTAATAAAGCAATTTAACATGCTCTAGTTACCTGGATCCACAGGATTCGGGTTGCTACCAGCAGAGTTTGATGGCAAGGAATTAGGCACAACATTAGGCTGAGATTTTGACTCCATTGTCAGCATCTTCAGAGATATTTTCCGTAGATAATCTGACTGAAATTTAAAAAAAAAAATAAGTCAGAAAAAATTACAACCCTTTGATACTGCATTCAATAAATTAAAAGCTCATGAAGAAAAGAATCAAGCACATTTATAGATTAAAATGTATCATGGCCTTCCATTTTATTGTCTCCATGAATTTTTTTAATCGGCAACAGAAACATTTCATTAATTAATATTTTGAAGAATCCCCAAAAAAAGACATCTAACCCATAGGAACATGGTAAATAGCATATGCTATCTCCCCCTTCACAAATCTTTACAATTCAGCCCAAAAGACTTGGTTTCAATTGACCCCTTGCTTAGCTAGCATATCAGCCATTGCCATCCTATTAACCCATTAAACCTTAATTTGTAGATTCCTTGTCAACCACTTGCACTTCATTATCAGATTTATGTCTGGACACATAGCTTTTGGCACGGTTTTTTGAGATAGACCAGAAACTGATGGATGTGCAGATGAAAGACCAGAAGAGTTCTGTACTCCAGCAGGTGCAATGTTATTTTGAACAGTCTGGGACAGCATCTGCTGACGTGCCTGGTAGGCATAGAAATTTGTTTGCAAATGACATTGTTTTATTTGATGAAACTAATGAATGACTAAATACAAAATTAAGCTTATGGAGAAATGCCCTAGAAACAAAAGGTTTTAAAATAAGTAAGACTTAAACAGAATATATGACATGTAAATTTAGTGATAATAGGAGTGTAAATCAGGATACACTTAGGATTGGAGACCAAGAGATAACTCAATGTGACCATTTCTAGTACCTTCACTACCTTGGTTCAATAAGTCATAACAAGAGAGAGATTGAGGGTGTCACCCAAAGAATTAGAGCAGGTTGGGCAAAATGGAGGGGTGCATCTGGGCTTTTTTGTGATAGGAGAATACCACATGCTCAGAAAATAAGTGTGGCAGAAAGCATAGGATCAAATGAAGCCATCCATACAAAACCTAGGAGTAGCTCCAATAAGTGATAAAATGAGAGAAAGTAGACTAAAATGGTTTTGGTCACGTGCATAGAAGACCACCAAAAGCTCCAGTTAGAAGAAGTGATATGTTACAAGTGGAAGGGGCTAGAAGAGCTAAGGGTAGACCAAAAAGGACATGGGTAGAAGTAGTAAGAAATGATTTAAGCACTAATGATAGGCCCCAATTAATGCCAGGAAGAGGAAAGGTCAACAATCAGCTAAGGGGGGAGAAATAATTGAACAATTAATCACATGAGGGCAATTATAGCTGGAGGGAATAAGGAGAGTCTTGGGGCATTTATAGCTATGTCAGTTATGAATAAGAAGAGTTTTTGGGCATCTATAACTAGGCCAGCTGGGCATTTATAGAGGAAGTCAATTATGCTATCAGTAGAGAATATTGTGAGTGTTTGGGAGAGCCGGCGGTATGCTTTTCTTTGAGTAAAAAATATTGTGAGTGTTTGGGAGAGACGGCGGTCTCTCGAAGAACCGACCAACTGTTAATGTTTTCTGCTGAATGAATACTAGTTTCTTTTGTTGATGTTCGAGTGTGTGAACGCTGCTGTAAGTCTGTGAACTGCGTGTCAAATTTCTGGGTCATATCAGTGGTATCAGAGCACATCTTTCCTCGGCCATGGTGACAGCTAAGGAAGTGGCATCGCAGGTGGAGGGTTTTGAAGAACGCTTGACTTCTCTGCATTCTGAAATGGATGGCTTGCGTGATGAGATAACAGCTGGACTGTCAAAGATCACATCCCTGGAAGGAGGCGTTCAAGACTTGGTAAGGCGTTTTGATCTGTTGCTGCAGCAACAGTCCTTGTCAGCTCCTTTGTCTACAATTGACAATGTTCCTCCTGTATCCGCATCAAGTCGTGCGGCTGACAAAGGGAAGGGTGCAGCTTTCCCAACGTCCCCTTCAATGACAGTCCCGGAACATACTTCTGATTCACTTCCTCGGAAGTTGGAGCTGCCTATTTTTGATGGGGAAAATCCAGACGGCTGGCTTTTTTGCGCGGAGCGCTATTTTGAGATTAATGGCTTGCTTCCGGCGGAACGTCTGCGGGCAGCAGTGGTCTATTTAGAGGGTGATGCACTGGCATGGTATTATTGGGAGGATGGTCGGCGACCCTTTCGTAGCTGGGCAGAATTCAAGGAACTCCTCCTTGAACGTTTCCAATCARCTCAGGAGGGAAACTTGCAGGAGCAGCTTCTATCATTACATCAATCCACTACTGTCGAGGAATATCGTCGCCATTTCGAGGTGCTTTCTGCCCCCTTACGTGACCTACCAGAATCAGYCCTTGAAGCAGCCTTTGTGAATGGGTTGCGCCCAGATATCCAGGCCGAACTCCGACAGATGGAACTCGTTGGGCTGATTAGAAAAATGGTTGCAGCCCAGAAAATTGAGGAAAAGAATCAGGCCTTRTGGGCCTATCAATCCAGTTCATATCCTTGTGGGCCTGCAACGTCCCTCTCTGGAACCCACTTTAACTCACGGGTTTCACAAGTGACTACTTCTACTGTCACCCGACATACACGAGCAGCAATCCTTCCTCCTCCTGCACCAGCCCCTATTGTTAAGGCCCCACCTCCTGCTTTCAAAAAGATGACCGACAAAGAGATGCAATAGAAACGAGCGAAGGGTCTATGCTTCCGTTGCGACAAGAAATACAGCCCGGGACATCGTTGTGCTCAGAAATCACTTCAGGTTTTATGGGTTCAAGATGACGTGGAGGAACTTGCGTCTAATTTGGACTGCACTTCCGGGGACACTGAAATTGCTTCGGCTCCAAAATCAGCCACGCTTTGTGTTTCGTCTCTTGTCGGGTTGTGTGCGGCAAATTCCCTTAAGGCACGTGGACACATTTTGTCACGTGAGGTGGTCATATTGGTAGACTCGGGTGCATCCCACAACTTTATCTCCGAAACTTTAGTGGAAGAATTGAAATTACCCCGCACCCCTACACACGAATTTGGAGTTCAGATGGGAAATGGTGAGGAGGTGAGAACTTCCGGAGTCTGCCGTCAGGTTTG